AAGCTGTCGTCGCAAAGATTTTCGAATGTGGGTAGGTGGCATTTCCGTGAATAATTATTTAGGGAGTGTTGAATTTTTAGCATAAATAGTAGCTGGGGAAGGTGTATTAATTTATTGTGGCAGTTATTAGTAGATGTCAGTCGGTTGATAGGAGCGGAAGTTGTAAGCTGGATGTATATACATATGTTGGCCTCTATAACTAATGCGATACGGTTTAGGTTTTATTATTCTGTTCACACCGATAACTGAGTATAATTAATGGGGTGGGATAAAATGTGTTAAACTACAAATAAGTATAAGTTATTTGATGAATAAAAGTTTAAATATAATTAGAATTCATAGCAGGTTTTTCTAAATCGTAACAGCAGTCGCGTCTTACAAATGTGACTTTGTTTAATGGAGGTCGGAACACTTCAAAGAAAACGCGTGGTTCACAAATATGATTGAAGGTATTCAGCCTTTTTCCTAGTACACATTCATGTTTTTCTCGATTAACACCATATTGCTGGTGTATAATGGATGCACAAATTACCTGAATTAGGTTGTACCATCCTCATATTCAGCCCATAAAAAGTACACATGTACTTTTGTCTGGTATGAAATATTCTTCTAACAGATATCTCTTTTCCATTCCATCAACTTTTCTAACCAGTCCTGTTTTGTCGAAAGTTACGAGGTTTCTTGTCCCAAAAAATGTATACCGTTTTTATTATAACTTGATCCAGAACTAACTTACGAAGAACTTTTATCAATATATTATCTTATTTTTTATAAAAAAATCCCCTTAAGGGGGTATTCTACTCTAGAATTTTGCAAAATTCGATTTTTTTTCATATACTTAAAATTTATACCCTTAAAACTATATCCTCCAAAGGATTTTTAAAAATTAAAAATTATTTTAAGAGCTACAGTTACTGTAGTAACGTAGTACCTAGCCCGTTAGGTAGGTAGACCCAATTTTTTAAACGCGTTTTTCCACTACTTTTTTTCCCACGGTACTGGCATTATCTCAAGTTCTATACAACCGATTTACTTGAAATTTTGTGTGAACCTTCTTTATATAATCTTTTATCCTTTATCTTTATATAATCCTTAATCATTTGCTTTTAATATTTTATATA